CGTGCGCGCTTCGCACGCGCTCAGGTTCTACATGTCTTGGAGCCTAGCGTACAACGCACAAGAGGGGCCGCGACCAGGGGGTCTCTTGGAAGCTTCTTGGGGGCCTCTTGGTGGCCTGTTGAGACCGTCTTGGGGCCATCTGGAACTGTCCGGGGCCGTCTGGAAACCTTCTGGGGCCGTCTTGGCGGTCTGGAGGCTGTCTCGAGGCCATCTTTGTCCGTCTCAGAGCCGCCCGTGTACCGACTTGGGTCTCTCTGGGGCCATCCGTGGACCACCCTGAGGTCTCAGATGCCCCTCGGAAGCAACAAGTCGAGGTCTACCCAAACCTATGGATTTGATCCCTTAAATTCCACAAGCAATGCTCCATAAGGATCTGGACCTGGTTACCAGCTCCGCCGCCTTGTAGCCGCCCGTCGCCGCACCATGTTGATCACGATTTGGATTGTGCGAAGCTCGCAGCTGGGACTTTGAGCTGGTCAAGCTGGCTTGCTTGTGGCCGCCCGTCTCCGCCCGTCGCTGCCGTCCGTCGCCGTACCATTTTGGTCACGAGTTTGATTGTGCAAGGCTCGCACTGTGCATTGATGTGCGTTGCTCTGTATTGCTGTGCATTGCTTTGAGGTGTTTACATTGCTCTCCATGTGTGTGTGCAGTGTTTTGCATTCCTTAGCATTGATGTTCCTTGATGTGTTCCTTGATGTGCACTGTTGCATTGCTTTACGTTGCTTTGCATTGCATGGCGTTGCTTCACACTCCATTGCGTTGCCACGAATTCAGTTGCACAGCTTTGCATCGCTTTGCATTGCTTGCACTGCGTTGCATTGCGTTGCATTGCGTTGCATTGCTTCATATGTGTTTGCACAACACTGCGTTGATTTACATTGTTTCGCATTGCGTTGCATCGCTGCGCGTTGCTTCGCGTTGCATTGATTTGCATTGGTGTGCCTTGCTTTGCATTGACTCGTATTGCTTTGTTTGCATTGCGTTGCAATGCGCCACGTACACTACATCACGTCTCTTACAGCACATAACGCATGCTACAAACGTTGCACCACATACATTGCACCACGTAAATTGCACCATCTGGCTTACAACACACACCACAAGGCTCACACCACATACACTGCACAGCGTGGCCTGCACCACTATAGCCCGCACCACTGTAGGTTGCACCGCGCAGATTGCACAACGTAAATTGCACTACATAGCCTAGACAACATAGATCGCACCACACGGATTGCGTCACATACATCACACGACATAGCTCACACCACACATGTCGCAATACACAGATGGCACCACATAGCTTGCACCAGATAGCTCACACCGCATAAATGAGCACGTTAACTCATACCACATACACTGCACCACCTAGTGTGCTAAAACACATGTTTGGCGTCCACACTAGCTAACATGCTGGAGGATGTTGGCCTCCTGTTTGCCACTTTGTGAAGCGTGTTGGGAGCCTGTTGGGGGCCTCCAGTGGCCTTCGTGGTGCCATCGAGGGCCGTCGGATATCTGGGGTCGTGCTGGGCGGACTGGGGAGGCTCCGGAGAGCTCGTGGAGACGTCCGGGGTGCCTGAGGGGCTCCTCTGGGGGCTCGCTCGGGCGTTCTGGATCCAGAAGCCTCCAGGGCCCATCGGCAGTGAAGAGGTGAGTTCTTCAAAAGTGTATGCGTTTCCTTGGTTTGAAAGACTTTGGTGTTTCGGGCTCCTCGAGGAGGCCTCTCGGGGCCTCTTTTGGGCCTCTTGGGGGCGGGGCACTGGGATCGTCTTGAAGAATTGCGGCCGTCTGGACCCTCAGGGGCCGTCTTGGGGCGGTCTTGGGGCTTTCCGGGGGGCGTCCTGGGGCCTCTTCGGGGCGTCTTGGGGGACTGCTGTGGGCCTCTCAGAGCCCTTTTGTGGTCCTCTTGGGGGCCTGATGGCGGCCTCGGGGACCCTTTGGGGTCAGGAGGCTCCAAACGTCGGTTGGAGTTTTCCGTTTGGAGCCCTTCTTGGGCTCTTCGGGGGCCCGGTTGGGCCGTCTTGGGCGCCTCTTGGGCCGACTTTGAACCCTCTTGGGCCACCTTGGGGCCCTCTTGGGGGCTTCTTCGGCCGTCTTAGAGTGATTCTGGATCCTGTGGAGGTCCCAGAAGCGAATATGCTGAAAATGTTCCCGAAGGCATGGGGCGATTGTTGCGCTCTCTTGGGTGTCGTCTTGTAGCGCTATTGGGGCGTCTTTGAGGCTTCTGGCGCCGTTCGAGGCGCCTCGGTAGCCTGTTGAAACTCCTGGAGGCCGTCTTGGGGGCCTCACGGGGCCCTCCCGAGCCGCCTTGATAACTGTCTGGTCCAGAGCCCGGGGCCCCCTGACCCAGTCCCCCAGTATACGTATACGTGTCGAGCCAAAGCGTGGTGCGGCACGCGCCAAGTCAAAATTCCCGACCGTACACTGTCCCTCTGAGTGCGCGGCAGAAGTGGGAATCGCTGCGCGGATTATGCTTGCTGTTTGCTATTGCTGTCGTCCTCGCTGCGACCCGCCCGCTACCCACCCGCGACCCGCCCGCGACCCGCCCGCGACCCAACCACGAGCTACCCGCGAGTTACCCGCGAGCTACCCGCGACCCACCGACATTGGTTTGACGAAATTCGGCGCCAGCGGCGGGCTCGTGGCGTAATAGGATAAAACTGGCGCCTGTGGCGGGCATCTTCCCAGCCCCGCAATCTGCCGACGACCCCGCCGCCCCCTCACCCTTACCGCAACTGCGGAGGCTGTGTAGTTCCTATGTGTTTGCGGGGACAGCACAAACAAAACTCCAGGCCTGTTGACTCGTCCTCCGAAGCTCTGGGTCCCCTCCCCGCCCCGCCCAGCCCTCCCGCCTCGTCTTCGCCAGAAGTTTGTTCGCAATTTTGGACGCCCGAAATGGGTACGGAAAAAACTGGGCACAATGCCCAACAACAAATGTTGTCCCAATCCAACAGCGGCCGCTGTTGGGCAGGCGGCCTTCTCTCTCAAACGTACACAGGCCGCGGCGACACCGACAGCGAGTCCTGGGCAAGATGAACAGGACCTGCTGCTGTGCACTGTACCCACTCTTTCCGCACCCATCTCGTTCGTGTTGAGTTCTGGCAGCGGATGAGCGTAACAGCTGGCTTTTCGGGCCGGGCGAAATGGGGGATAGCGACGTGAGGGTTTGAGAATCAGCTCACGTAGCTGATTTCCCCGGCGCCTCCCGGCGCCGGGAGGCGCCCACATATCGAGGAATAGGCCCGGCGACGGGGCCGAAACCAGCTGCATGCAGCAGATTTCGTAACCCCCCCTTTCCCTATCCCCCCCTCTCGTTCGGCCCGAGCTTTGGCAACCGCGCTGCCCTCGCTCCCGTCCTCCCTCGTCCCCGTCCTCCCCCAAGCCGCGCCGTTTGCTCTCTTGCTGCACGGGCCGAGGCTTTTCCCGCGCGGGCTCGTCTACGTACTGCCAGGTTGGCCCTCTTGCGGGGCCTCTCTGGGCGCTCGCCTGCTGCCTCACGCGGGCACCACCGTTCTCGCTGGGCAGCGCAGCGTCCAGCTGAGAGGTTCGCAGGCCCATGCCTAGGTTTGTGGACGCCATGACAGTGGACACCCTAACAATCCTATCATTGAAATTAAAAATGTGCTTAAAATGTGTAAGCATGTGCTGGACATGTTTTCATCATGTATTTAACATACTCAAAACTTGTTTGACACATCCTTGAGACATCTGGAAAGTATTTGGCAGCATGCTTCCTCTCCGTTGATCGTCCCTCATAAGTCCAGGTGCTGGTGCATCCGCACCAGGATCTTCGCTGGGGAAGTTCCCTGCTTGGCAATTGGACTCGCACCAGGAGTCCCCGAACTCCGACGCGGCGACTTCTGTAAAAAGACGCGCGGCCCCAGACAACCCGAGCCCCTCACTGAGAATCGATGCCTTCCTCCTGGGCCGTTTCCCTGCGGGCCCCCTAGGGCTCGAAAAGGAGCCCCAGAGCCTGCCGAGGCTGAGGAACGGCATGCTCGATGTGCCAAGGGGGGGAGAAAGCCAGGCCGGAGCTCTGGGGCTGCGCACAAGGTGGCGTCTGGAAATCCTGCCCCCCCCCCTCTCTCGGAGGGCCGCATGTTGCTTTCTTCCCGCCCGCGGAGCCGCCCCCGTCTCACCTCCGCCGCCCGTCCGCCGAGGGAGAGATCTCAACGTCTCGGCTCCTCCAAGACGAGGGTGCGCCCCTTAACGCGACGAGCGCGCTCCGCTGCTCGCAAAGTCACTACTCGCAAATGGCCTGGATCCCCCGCGGAGGATCTACGATAAATTACGCCAGAGCAGACAGGTGTTTCTCGGACGTCTGCGAGTAGGCACTTTGCGAGTAGTGTGACGCGCTCGGTGGTCAAAGACGAGGGTGCGCCCCTTAACGAATCTCATCGGCGGGGCTGCTTCCGCGGATGCCGGCGGCGCGGTGCGCGACGCCATAAGGCCATGGGGGGGCTCCTGCAGCGGATCCACTGCTGCAGGCACCCCAGGTGCACGCTCTCGATGGAGCCTCGGCCCGTGGGCCCGTCGGCCCGTCCTCCTTTCCACCTCCTCTTACTCTTGCCTCCTCCTCCTCCTCCTCCTCCTCCTCCTCCTCCTCCTCCTCCTCCTCCTCCTCCTCCTCCTACTCCTCCTCCTCCTCCCTCCTCCTCCTCCCTCCCCCCCTCCCCTCCTCCTCCTCTCCTCCTCCTCCTCCTCTTCTCCTCCTCCCCGCCTCCTCTTCCTCCTCCTCCTCCTCCTCCTCCTCCTCCTCCTCTCCTCCTCCTCCCTCCTCCTCCCTCCTCTCCTCCTCCTCCGCCGCCTCTCCTCCTCCTCCTCCTCCTCCTCCTCCTCCTCCTCCTCCTTCGCCTCCTCCTCCTCCTCCTCCCCTCCTCCTCCTCCTCCTCCTCCTCCTCCTCCTCCTCCTCCTCCTCCTCCTCCTCCTCCTCCTCCTCTCTCCTCCTCCTCCTGGCGCATCATCCGCTTCACCTTCCTGCTCCTCCATGCCCTCCTGCGCATCCTCCTCCTCCTCCTCCTCCTCCTCCTCCTCCTCCTCCTCCTCCTCCGATTTGCTCGCAGAGGCATGTGGACAGAGTGGAGCCGCACGATGGCGGTGATCAGCGGCGGGCAGTGGAGCAGTGCCAGGAAGCGAAGGTGCGGCTGCGCCGTCAGCGCGGTCTGCCAACGCTGCGGACTGAAGCCGGAGACGCTGACGCACAGAATCTGGCGGTGCACGGCGAACGTCAGCGAGGGCAGCGAAATCGCCAAGTCGGGGCACCTGGTGGCGCGGGCGCTGGCCTGCGCAGAGTGTGAGCCCTCGGTCTGGCTGGGGGGTATTGTGACAACTCACTTCACCACCCCCAGGTTCGATGAAGAGCGATTGGCCCAGGAAGCCTTGTTTTTCGGGGTAGTTGAGCTGGGTGACTATCGGAGGGATGGGGGTTCTGACTCTGTTTAGAGACGTGTTGGGAGGGAAGTACTCGGACGACCATGGAACCGCTGTCGCTGCCCTGGCCTGGCGTGAAGATAGCTGGTGCCTGGGCGCGATGATAACTGCGCCGCTCCCTGGCCTCCGACAGCCGGTG